CTACACGAAAATCCTTCTTCTTTTCTTTCTCAAATTCCTGAAAGAATAGCCGCGTTGTGTTCAACTAAACAGGCCCAGGTTGCATATTGAGTAAGCTAATTGAAACAACAATACCTAAAGACATTGAAGTCATTAAAGTTCTTTGCCATTTTTGTTGGACGATGCACTACGGCATACGTGTCAAACTCAATGTCCGGGGGCCAAATGCGGCCCGCCGAGCCGTTTTGTGTGGCCGCGGGAGCTTAAAAAGCATTTCGAGTTTCTTAACATAGGAAATGAATGGTTTATATAATCAATCAAATAATATAATATATCAATTGCAGAAACATGTGTTCTGTTATGGAATATTTTGTTCCATTACTGGTCAGCCAGTACCACCCGTTACTACAGACCGTTAGCAAGGTACTGAACATCAAAGGATCATTAAATGATATTTTGTTTGTATCAGAGTCTGAATGACCTATTATTTTTAAAATATTGTCAGATTATCTTTAAATAAAGAAAGTAAATGGATATGACTGGATTTTTTTTTTTTTTTTTGAATGAAGTAAATTAGTAAAGGTTCATTTTCTTCACTGTGTCCCACTGCGGCCGAATGACCAAATGACCTATGGACTGGTACTGGTCTGTGGACCTGGGGTTGGGGACCCCTGATCTATACAGTCTTCTATTTACAACAGTTTGCCACCCCTGCACTATGGGATTTATAAAAGTACACAATTTGCTCTGGCTCAAACAAGGCTGGGAAACATTGTTCACCGAAATTATAATTGACCAGTTGGATTTTTCCCTATATCACATCTCTCTACCGTATCACCTGTCCCATATATCCATCAAAGCCCTGCGCTCCCTCTTTTTGTTTTTACAATAAACAACTAAACAATCCTGCCATCATGTCAGTGCATCGTCACCTCCTTTGTTTTGGTAAGATGACAGGTAAAATGGCCTTCAAGAAGCCAGTGGACCTCTACATAACTGCTTGAGATAAAATGATCTGGATGTCTGAGATATAGCTAGCTAGATATGTTTTTTGCGTGTACTTTCCCTTGCAGCCATGGTATAGTGAAAGATGGAAGACGAATCTATCTGCAAATAAAACATTTCATTAAAAACAAGGTCCTAAAAAAAAAAAAAAAAAAAGGCTTACCTCTACAAACACTTTCTGATTGTGTGAAACAGTGTGGAAGGACTGGCGCGACGGGGTGTTGACTGACGGCGTGTCGTACAATTCTAAGTCGAACGTCGTATTTCCGACCGGACGACTGGATGGTTCGGGTGCGATCCTGGTGTTAAGTGTTGCTTGAATTTGCTGGTTCTTTCTGTATGTGCAGTTGAACTGCGAAGAGAGTTGAAACATTAGGCAGGGATATTCAGATATTTGATACAATGACTGAGCATACTCCAAAAACGAAACCAGGAGACCAGGGAGTCAAACGTCAAACAAATGAGACTATACACATTTTAAAAATTACAAATTTCAATTTTAAAAGTGAGTCCGATGTCAAGGTGGAAGGTGGTTCCGTTAGGCAACTGAACATTCCATTTTCTCAAGAAGACGTTTCACCTCTAAGAGGCTTCTTCAGTTTTAACTGGTGGTGGGGAGTGCAGTAAATATATACGTGGGGATTATCTTACGATGTCTGCACCTTAGGTTGAACCGCAGATGGTTCCTGTATTCTGCAAGTTTTCTGGAAGCGTTCTCATACTCCCGCAACCAAGCGAAGGGTAGCGAAATGTCTTCTTGAGAAAATGTCATGTCCAGTTGCCTAATGGAACTCTTCAACCTTGACCGTGACCTGGATGAGAATCTTTATAGACACGAGTTAGATGTCTTACTGCAATGGCTGACTGCTGCTCTGTAGGGTCAGTTATTGTCCTCTCAGATTTGACTGGATCCTTCTGAAATCGCATTTCACCGGATTCCAGGTCGACATAATCCAGTAGGCCGCCACTGCCATCCTTTGTCTCGGCGTGATTTATCAATACCTGTTTCACACAGAGGCCAATGTGTTATGTGAAAAGCTGTGTTATTTAAACTACATGAAAAAAAAAGAAATAATAACTTTCCCATAAAGTGAAAACTACTAAGACTTCCACAATATACATGTACAAATATAACAATCAGGGCTAAACAACTTAACATTGTTATCACATTAACTGATTCATTAATTAATTCAGACAATTATTTTAGAGTTTTTTTTTTTTTATAATTTAATAAAGTTACTTTAGTTGTATTTGCTTTGAAAAATTAATACAAATTCATTTAAATTAAAGGTGTTTGCGCAACAACTGTTGTGGCGCTTGTGTTCACATGGCAGTACATTAATAATTCAAATAAAACTGCACTATACACACACATTTTCAAAATTCTAAAATCCACTCATATCTAGAGCGCATTTTGCCTTTTAAAAATAACCAAAAAAAACCAATTCATTCGTTCCAGCCCCCCAGAAATATACTATTAAGTTCCACCCCATCTAAACATCAAAAACATGGTATAAAGCAACAATAATTAAGAATACATTTTACGTTATTGTTATGTAAAATAAATAAATAAAATATGTAAAATAACAACCCAAGGGTCAGTGAGACTGAGATATATATATATATATATATATACACACATACATACATATACATACATATACACACATATATACATATACAGACATATATATATATATATACATATATATACATATATATACACATATATGTATATATATACACATATATATACATACAGACATATATACATATATATATACAGACATATATATATATATATACATATATACATATATATACACATATATATGTGTATATATATATATATATATATACACACATATATATATTATATATATATATATATACATATATATATATATATGTATATATATATATATATATATATAGTATATACATATACTATCTATATACTAGCTAAGTAGGTAGTTCCTGGTATCGCGAGATGAGATATCATGTGAAGATATTTTAACGCATACCTAGTTTCGTATTAAATTCGGATAGATGTTTGTTTAAAAAAAAAAGTAAGCAAAAGAAATCCCAGAATTCCCCATTGTTTCAGAATTGACATTCAAAGCAGTTAAAAACAAGAAAACTACGCAACCCTCAGAAGATCACTAAAAAGATAAAAAAACAAGTCATTTTATCACTTTGTGGTAATAAGTTCAAAAAACATATGTTTGAGGCGCAATGGTGATTGGCATTGACCTGTAACTGTAGGTACTGTACTCACCTGGTTGATATACAAGGCCATGGAGCTTCCCGGGATCGGATACATGGAGGTTTGACAGCCAGATAGAAGGGTTTCCAGGGTATAATGGGTGGCATTAACTGTTGCTTTGCATTCTGGATCCTGAAGTGTGAGGTTGGCATAAAAAAAGCCCTTTTCCTAAAGAGATATAAAAGCAAGTGACGAGACTTAGTTTCTTCATCTAAAATGCTAAAGCTGCAAATTCCCACAGATTTAAAAAGTCTCCATTCTGTTATGAAGACTTTCTGGTCACAATTATACCACCCATACACTAACTAAGAGATCATTAAATGTGTTAAATAATTCGTTAACCGTTTTTTTTCATTGCGAGTTACAACTACAGTATGTCACAAAAGTGAGTACACCCCTCCCATTTCTGCAGAGATTTCATTATAATGCTTAATTGAACAACACTGAAGCAACATCGCTTTGACACAATGAAAAGTAAGTCTGTGTAAAGCTTATATAGCAGTGTAAATTTATTTTTCCCCTCAAAAAAAAAAAACTCAAAATATAGCCATTAGTAGCTGAACCCCTGGCAACAAAAGTGAGTACAGTGATCCCTTGCTATAACGCGGTTTACTTTTCACGGTTTCGCTACTTCACGGATTTGCATCGTGCATTGTGTTCTGCATTCTGATTGGCTAAAAAGTCACTCCGCTTCTTCTCTACCTGTGCGCCAATAACGTTGCGGTTTAATATGTACACGTACGTAAAACAGCTTGCCAAATTGACATTACGTACGTGCAAATTCTCTTGCAATTTCGAGTTTATCAAACCCCATAATGTCGACAAAACGCTCTGGACCGGCAAAAGTACCTGCGGTAGGGACCAAAAGGCAGCGGAAGATGCTGTCTATCGGTGATAAAGTAAAACTATTGGACATGCTAAATGAAGGTAAAAGCTATGCGGCTGTAGGTCGGCATTATGGAATTAATGAATCTTCCGTTCGTTCCATAAAGAAGGAAGAAAAAAACATAAGGAAGACAGCAGCAATAAGTTTTAATAAGGATTCAAAAAGGGTTGCAACTGCCCGCAACAAGACCAGGTAATTTGTATTTTTTTCATAATCATTTTTAATTTTCTCCCGTTCACGGTGGGCGGTGCTAATCTCCGCAATTTGAAGCCTTCTGTTCACGTTGATGATTAAAATTATTATTTGACAGTACATTACAGAAGTTATTTGTTGAAACGTTTCTAAAGTACTTTTATTTTACTTTATTTGTGAAACAAATGGTTGAGACTGTAAAATGGTTTGTTCGTTCTTTCTCTTCTTTTTCTGAGTATTTAATTGTAAAAAAAATAAAGATTTCTACTTCACGGATTTTGCCTATCACGGGTTCTTTTTGGAACGTAACCCCCGCGAAAAACAAGGGTTTACTGTATTCACCCCCTTGGATGTTTTACCCTTTTAGTGCTTTCATAAATCAATCATGGTCAATACAATTTGGCTTTTTTAACACAAACATTTATTGGAAAAAACTCTTTAATGTCAAAGTGAAAACAGATTTCTACAAAGTAATGTCAATGAAATAAAAATATATAAAGAAATATAATTGTTTGCATAGTTAATCACCCCCTTTTTAAGTTAATGGTCTAATTCAATAGAGGTCCAAATTCTTGCCAATAGTCTCACAATTAGTGAAATGAAGATCACCTGAGTGGTGTGGGTGTGCTTCAAGTGATTGAGGTATAAAACACCTGTGTCCGAATGGTCCAGACTGGTGGATCAGTATTCTTGGTGACAATTACACCATGAAGACAGAAGAACACTCCAAGCATCTCAGGGAAAGGGTGATTGAGAAGTACAATTCAGGGGATGGATACAAACACATTTCCAAGGCATTGAACATCCCCCGGAGTTCAGTGAAATCCATTATCAAGAAATGGAAGGAATATGGCACTTGTGTGGATCTGCCTAGATCAGGCCGCCCTCGTAAACTAAGTAGGAGACTAGTGAGAGAAGCAACCAAGACCCCTACGACTACTCTGAAGGAGTTACAACTTCAGCTGCTGAGATGGGAGAGACTGTGCATATAGCAACTGCTGCCCGGGTTCTTCACCGGTCAAAGCTTTATGGGAGAGTGGCAATGAGAAAGCCACTGTTGAAGAAAAGTCATATTAGATCTCGACTACAGTTTGCCAAAAAGCACGTGGTCAAGTGGAAGAAGATTCTTTGGTCTGATGAGACCAAAATCGAGCTTTTTGCCCATCAGACAAGACGTCATGTTTGGCGGAAACCAAACACTGCACATCACCAAAAACACACCATCCCCACTGTTAAGCATGGTGGTGGTAGCATCATGCTGTGGGGATGTTTCTCAGCAGCCGGACCTGGAAGGCTTGTAAAGATAGAGGGCAGAATGAACGCTGCAAAATACACTCAAATCCTGGTGGACAATCTTATTCAGTCTGCAAGAGAACTACGGCTTGGGAGAAGATTTATTTTCCAGCAAGACAATGATCCGAAGCATACTGCAAAAGCTACACAGGACTGGTTAAAAAAGAACCAGGTAAATGTTCTGGAGTGGCCGAGTCAAAGCCCAGACCTCAATCCTATAGAGCAGGGGTCTCAGACTCGCGGCCCGGGGGCCAAGTGCGGCCCGCAGTACAATATTTTGTGGCCCGCACCTTAATATTAAAGTATACTGTTAGTGTGGCCCGTGGAGAAACTGGACCTCCGAAGAGCCAATCAGCAAGCTCCCGCGCGCCGTCCCTTGTCGGGGATAGGCTAAGCTTGCAACTTATACCCCAGAGCAATTTATGGAAAATGCGATAGTCTTTCTCTGGGGCCGCAAAAAAGTGCAAAACTGAGGTAGTTCTTCCAGAAAAAAAAAAAGGTGTAGTGCATTGTTTTTATACTCACGCCTGGTAAAGACATTTGGAAAAAGAGACCCACCTGCAGGCTCTCTTTGTCAACGCTGACCACCATCCTTGTGTCGTCACAGTACACGCTAAGGCCAATGTTAAGCGGCTCCTGATACTTCTCAGGTTCCCCGTTTCCTAATATTTGGTCTTCTATGGTGGAGGAGATTGGTAGTTTCAGATACGAAACCCCATCGTCGGAGACAGGCGGTGGAAAAATGAAGGGCAGGCGTGAAGCTGTTCCCGTTTTTGGATACGAATGAGTGCTGGAGCCCTGCAGTATGGAGAGCTCTGGAGGCAGCAAACTGTCCAGAGGTTCCACCATATCTGAAAGTCAAAGATTGTTAAATTATGTTTTGGAAACCCACATTCAACAAGGTCTAGCACAGCAGCAGGAGGAAGAACATTTTAACGCGGCATTAATAAACGACTGGCAACAAATAGCAATGTCCAAATAAAGCCTGAGAAGAAATGATATGTAGCTGCATAAGAGATTTTTCAACAGCAAGGCCAACTTTTTCTATTCTATCAGTGCTCTAATTACATAGGGCTTGCATACAACCATCTTCAACTTCACCATTTAAACAGCAAGGGCATACCAACATGTACATCAATTGAAGTCTATAACATAAAATGTGAAACATTTATCAAAATTTGTAACTCCACATGTTCAACTTGGGGGTGTTAGCTAAAGCATCGTGGCATTAAAATACATTTATTTTGATCACAAAGATAAAATAGCAAAGCAAGGCCATTCAAAACATTTTATAAAGTTTAAGTAAATGGAATATAAGGTGTTTTTGACAGTACAGTGGAACCTCGAGATACGAGCCTTCAAGTCTTCGATCAAATTTTTGCTTCGAGATACGAGTAAAGATTTGCGATACGAGCACGCTTACAGACACCGAAGATGGGTGGCCGAGCACACCGTCTCACTCGTTCACTTCACGCGTCCGTTGACTTCCGTACTCATCACCCGCGAGTCTTCCGTATTGTGTTTGCATTATCTACATGATTTTCTATCTATCTATCTATCTATCTATCTATCTATCTATCTATCTATCTATCTATTTTGTGCATTATTCTTCATAATAGTGACGAGTCCTAAGAAAGTAAGTGGTAAGGATGATAATGAGAAGAAGAAACGCATAATGACCATGGAGATAAAGCATGAAATTATCGGTAAATATGAGCGTGGTACCCGCTAAAGAAAGAATAGAAATAAAAAAAAAAACAAAATAGAAAGAAGAAGAAACAATAAGTAAGTTAAGTTAATTCTAAGTTTATGTAAGTTACATAGTGTACGTGTAAGGTACGGTACGGAATCAAGTGTCTACGTACTAGCTAATTTTCTTCCCTCCCTTCCTAGCCGCTAATGTTTGTGTGTATGTCTTTATAATTATGCAATTAAAAACATGTTTTTCCATTGTTATTAGCTCTAATAAGGGAGTTTTTAGAGGGCTGGAACTGATTCATTTTCTGTTATTTCGTATAGGAAAAAAAACGATTTGAGACACGAGCACCTCGAGTTACGAAAGGGGCTACGGTGTCACAATTACCCTTTCGCATCAAATATAATCGTAATACTGAAGATAATAATGAATAAAAATAAAGAGTCTCATTCCAAATTACCTGGCTCTCTGAGTCGAACTTCAAAGTGATTAGCTACAGGAGTCCTGGTGTAAGATGTGACTGGGACGTAGCTGTGCTCCTCTGCCCACTTAATTAGGGCTTGTGGCCCTGAGGGTAAGAGCTGCTTGGGAGACGTCACTGTCTTCATCAGTTGCACTGTGTTGGAATTAACAGTTATGGTGTCAGATGCCTGTAAAAAAAAAAAAAAAAGCAGGGTTGAGTGATTTTAATCAACATGGATGGATGGATGGATGGAATATTTAACATGCTGGAAATGTTAGTTTTCAGGCTGTAATCTCACCACAATGTGCAATTTGCCAATAACACGATGGACTTTGATCACCCAGTTGACTGATTTCACACACTGGAGCAGCAGGACGACTTCACGCTGCAAGGTCACGTCCTTGACCAAAGGCTGTAGTTCCACTGTAACATCCACTTGGAATGCACTGCCGTGAAAGAAACAGAGTAAGGAGTAAGGAGAAATCTACTCATTGCATCTGGCCAGCACATTGACAATAAATGTTACCAGCCATGAAAAAAAAAAATAGAAATATTCAACAGAAACCTCAACCTAGAAAATAATCACACGACTGGGGAAAGCTAGCGGCAGAAAAAGACTACCGTATTTTCCAGACTATAAGTTGCTCCAGAGTATAAATTGCACCGCCATAAAATGTATATGAAGAAGAAGAAGAAAAAAAACAACACGATAAGTCACTAGTGCTCTCTAGCAGTACAGGAGTAGCAGATACTGGTACACAAGGCGTGAAATTATATATTTTAACACATAAGCTGCACCTGAATATAAGTCGCAAACCCAGCAAAAGGATAAAAAAAAAAAAAGTGCGACTTATAGTCCGGAAGACACGGTACTTGTCAATTTCTCGCTTCAAAATAAACTGACACCATGAACTCCCGGTGTCAGCTGGTCACCTGCTGGAGTTGGGGGCCTCGAGCTCAACGATGTGGACTTCCCGGTCTTTGTCCGGACCGGACAGAACACAACCTTTGGAAAGCTGTGGCTCCCTGTAGCCACCCAGATAGTTCAGCGACAGGAACTTCGTGTCAATCTTGCAGGTGTCAGAAAACACTGGATCTGAAAGTAGAGAGGGATAAAACATTTGTCACCGGTTCTGGCCCCGTGTTCCGTGCTTTAGCCCACCACTTCCGCCGTAGCAGCTAACACCCCCTGTCCTCGGATCTGCACTTTAGGGTGCGATCACACTTGATGGCGGCGCAACGGCTCAATTGTTTCGACGCAAAGATTAAAATGGTCTAGCAGGGGAGAAGGGAAATGATTTAAGGAAAGTTTTTTCACATGAAATGCCAGTAGAGAAGGGGAAGCAACAAACATCTGCAGCTACTCTACTTGAAGTGAATATTACAGCGCGATGGGTGCTAGCCAAACCACATCCCACTAATGACATAAGCCAATTGCTGTAATGCTGAGCACCCATCTACTCTCCACAAAAAACAAACAGCGCGCTGAAAACACTTACATAAACAGCCAGGACTGGAGCCATCGTGTCTCTCAAAGACTCTTATGACTAGAGTCGTAACCTTTATGTTCATTTCCTTGAAGTGAAAACAACTCCAAACGAGTCCTATCTGCGAGCCGATCTAGTGTGAAGATGTTTCTCACCCGACGAAAGATTAAGACGCACAGCCTTAGATAGGAGAGAACGAAAGGGAGAACGGTGAAATGGTGAGGCTGCAAGGAGCAGAGGTGGTGAAGGTGCAGGAGTTTAGGTACTTAGGATCAACTGTTCAGAGCAGCGGAGACTGTGGAAGAGAGGTGAAGAATAGAGTACAGGCAGGATGGAACAGCTGGAGAAAAGTGTCAGGAGTGATCTGTGACAGAAGAGTGTCAGCTAAGGTGAAGGGAAAAGTTGACAGGACGGTGGTGAGACCAGCCATGATGTATGGTTTAGAGACAGTAGCAATAGGCAGAAGACAGGAGGCGGAGCTGGAGGTGACAGAGTTAAAGATGCTAAGATTCTCTTTAGGAGTGACAAGAATGGACAGGGTCAGGAATGAGGTCATTAGAGGGACAACACAGACAGGAAGGTTTGGAGAAAAAGCTAGAGAAGCCAGATTGAGATGGTTTGGACATGTGCAGAGGAGGGACAGTGGATACATTGGTAGAAGAATGTTAGAGATGGAGCTACCAGGTAGGAGAAAGAGAGGAAGGCCAAAGAGGAGATATATGGATGCAGTGAGGGAGGACATGCAGGTAGTTGGAGTCAGAGTAGAAGATACAGAGAACAGGGAGAGATGGAAATCAATGATTTGCTGTGGCAACCCCTGAAAAAAAAGGGACAAAGCCGAAAGAAAAAGAAGAATTTAGACAGTACATATATCTTAGAGCAAACATGGCGTGGCAAGCTGGCTGGCTTAGAGTCTGCCCTGAGTGTGCGGTGGAGTTGTGCAGCGAGCAGTCGGTAGGTTTTTTTTTGGCATGTGCTGTTACTGACAACAGCGTCTACTGAAAGAACTGATAAAGCTGGCTTAGAGTCTGCCATGAGTGTGCGGTGGAGCTGTGCAGCCAGCGGTCGGTAGGTTTTTTTTTTGGCATGTGCTGTTACTGACAACAGCGTCTGATAATGAACGACCGATATTATCGACACCATAACGCAATGCCCGGGTTTCGCCAAATGACGTGTGCTCTAAAAAATAGTGTAACGCCCCGGCGACAGACCAGTCAGATGCTCTGAAGAAAACTTCTTAAAACCCAATTTGCAGTAACTCTTTCTAAACTCCTTCATTGCTTTCAACCCAGCTTCCTCAAAAACTCCTTTTCCTCCTATCGCACTCTCCGCACCCTCTCTTCCTCATACACACACGTACTCTCACCACACCTCCTCCTCCCCTCCCCTCCATATCCCTTCATATCCATAACTGTTAACCTCTTGATAACACACTCACAGAACATCATGAACAAAAAAAAAAAAACAAGCCCTCTGGTCACTAGATGGCAGCATTGCGGCTCATTTTATTAATCGAATTTGTTAATCAGGGGATTGTGTGCAGAACGCTGGTGCCAACAACTCTTACTGAGGTATGGGATAAATAAATGTTACTAGGTGCCCAATAGTACAGTGTAGTACACTGTCCAAAACAGAATGTAGGTGGAGCTAACAAGCAGGGGAAGAAGGGGAAACCCCAGCAGTGATTTCTGGATGTAGTACAGATGGACATAGATGGTTTGTTTACCAGTAGAGGAGGAAAGAGAGAGTACACATAGCCTGATGATTTGCTGTGGAAGGAAAAAAAAAAGCCAAAAAGAAAAAAAAAAAAGAACAAGAAAAAGAAGATTCCCATTACAAGCAACAGATCCCTATCCTGTTCTATCAGCTCTAAGACATATCCAATACGCAAGTGTTTCTAGGGGAATAGCAGCCAAAACTGGAAAAAGACGGCAAGTAACTAAGATGATAGATAGTTATTTAAAAAGCGCGATAGGCCGTATGCCACAGGAGGAATCGGATTCTTCGACTAGACGTGCGCTGCAGATAATGATTACAACAGACAAATTCTGGGCGAAGTTGTGCAGAACTGAAGAAGAAGCTTAACCCTTTCATGCATGACGGTCACTACAGTGGACAGCTATGAAAATGTCATTTTCTATGATACGAATAGGTTTCGATGGCCGAACCAAATCAGTTCTTATTTTTATGTCTAAAAACGCATAAAAACACTTAGTAACATTTTTTTTATACTAAGTATATCATGGGTCATGCATCAAAGGGTTAATTCGTAGTTTTTATAGTTTTTTTTTTTTTTTTTGGAGATGTTAGGAATCTCATTACCACATACCTTCTCCCACTTTAATGTAAATGTCTTGTGTCATCCTGAGCTCGGAGAAAGAGGTGACCGCCTTGTACTTTTTCTCAGCCCAGCCGAGGAGGCGCTCATTGCTATTAGGGAGAATCTCTTCATCCGTTTGGCAGCCAAGGGAAAAGTTTGCCGGCTGGAATTGAACTTCAGAATCCCTTGTCACCTGCAGCGCACAAAAGGAAAAAGTGTTAGATGATGATGAAAGAGTAGCTTTGACTGTTATGTCAAAGCACAGTGGTTTTGCACAACGACACATCTATGGTTAAAATCACTTTTCTCGCCGCTGCGTTCAGGGTGTTGAGAAGGGTTTGGAGGTAAGGGAATGAATGGACGTAAGAACACAGCTTGCTCATCCGAAAACAAAGTCATTTTATTCGAACGGAACCGACTAAGCTGTTGTTTGTACCCAGTAAATGAGTGTAAATGTTGAGCTCAGCCAAGACAAAAACGTATATATATGATATATAAATGCAAATCGTTTCAAAGAGAACTCAGGCCAGAGTGCCTCCAGGACTACATAAACATTCATAACCTAAGGAATTTTCATCTCTAACATTTTCATCCTTGGCTCCCTTTTGTTCATCTTGCACCCTCCTTCTCTCTCTCTCTCTCTTCCTTTTCCCTTGCCCCTTACGTATGCCCTAATTCTTAAACGTGCTTGAGGGAAACGTGTTAACAAAGACGTCATCGTTTTTCATTTACACAAACACTTCCAAAACACTTCTGAGAGCTCGGAAGTGTTGAAGCGTATAAAATATGTGGTTGTTTGAACTACAACAACTGCAAGAAACGTCTATCCTAGTTTACCATAAACATCTGGTTGCCATTTGGCTGAACCAAAAGGTTAAAAATCAACCAAAAATATCTTAAACATTTAATGCATTTTTTTCAATTCCCTACTTTTTTACTAACAATTGCAAATTTTAAAATTAAACACATTACACAATTTAATAGAAAAAACAACCAAAAACAGAACAATTATGCCTTATCTTAAACATTGAATGTCTTTTTTTTCAATTCCCTACTTTTTTACTTACAATTGCAAATTCAAAATTAAACACATTACACAATTTAATAATAGATGTTTATTTTTGTTAGATTTTTTTTTTTTTTTTGCTTATTAAACAGAACCCAGTGAGGGTAGGATGGAGCGTGAGATTGACAGGCGGATCGGTGCAGCGGCCGCAGTAATTTGATCAATTTTGTGTTTTGTTTTCAAATGTTCAAAAACAATGATAAAAGCAGTAAATGCCAAATGCTTCTCCTGGAATGTCGGTCAGTCACTAAGTCACTAAATGTGACTAATCCATAATAATAAAGTTAGGCCAGAAGAGAGCTGAGATAGACACAGGACGCCATTTAAACAAAAACATGCATCACCCAGCACTACATTTTTTGTACATTTTTTACACTTATTTGAATGGTTTATACATTGTTATTACGAGTAGCTCTCACAAATGTACGTGATTTTTTTTTTATAAAAGCAAAAGGAGGTGGCAACCCATCATAGAATTTGATTATTAAAAATTATGAAAAATTAACTGACAGTGGACCACATTTTTGGTTGGTTGAAGATCCGACACTTTGCTTAAACTTGATTAAAAAAAAGTGTGTTAACAAAAAAAAATTATAAGACTTAAAATCACTTAGCTTTTCCGCAGATACATGAAGCTCTGGTTAAATTGGCTTTAGGTTAGTTCCTGTTTATTTTAAGTGGTTATAGGTGCACGTTTATTTTAATAATTTATATAAAACAAAAATAACTCAAATAGATTTCCCCACAACAACAGATAACAAATCTGTGAATTTTTATGTAGTGTTCATTTTTTTTAAATTTTGTTGTTCATGACCAGTTGCCTTATTCTTTGTAATTTTGCTTTATTAAAAAGCAAAAAAAGCACAAATGACTATCTTGAATATAAATGCAGCATCAATAGCTGTAATTTGTTAAAATAAATTAGCCAGAAAGATCTTAAGATAAATAAAGGTCATAATCACACATTTAAGACAAGACGGGTCGGAATATGTGAACATAATATGTTGATAAACCTTCAATAATTTTGATGTCACCAAAATTAAAACGGTTCAAACTTCGAACTTTTTCTTTTAAAGGCATCTTTATTCGAGTTTGGTTTAAATTTAATGATTGCTTTTGGTTTCAGAATTGAAAAAAATTAAAAAGTGTATAATGTATAAAAGCTTTTCATTTTATTCCAATCTCAGGAGAATTTCGCTATATCGCATTTTTTTTTTAAATATTATATATATTTTTAAATGTACGATATTTTCATTATTGACGTTAAAAAAAACATGTGTAACAACTTGCATTCTACAACTCTACTGTGCATATAATAGATTTTATTATGTGCTGACAATTTTTTTTTTTTTTTAATTTTCAGTTTGTTGATTAAAAAAAATGCTCACCAGCAAAGGCCAAGCTCGCAGGGATAATCAATCTGTGTCCTAGGTTTTTAAAGGCTTTTGGGAAGTTTGGACTCACATGAAAGATGCGTTTGATGCCCAGGGCCAGATTCTCTGGCTTAATCTTCCAGATGAGTGGTCGGGGGGAGTTAAGCACAAAAACCAGGGGCTTCGCATGGTGCAGTAAGGACTGAATGGGCTTCAGATGCAGGTCCACCTGTCGAGACACAGAAATGAAGGAAACAAAAACATCAGTGGAAAAACTCGATTAGGTACAACTCGGGGATTATGTATTTAAAATATTTTTTAAAAATATTCTCTTTGTAATAGGACAGACACATTTAGTGTGCTGTTGTAGTCGCACGAGTCTGTTGATTTTCTTTTCCTTTTAGTAGAATCTTGGTCCGACTGACAACTGCATCAGATTTAATTTTTGTCTTTGTTAGAAGAAAATGACTAGTTCTGGTCAATGATTCAAATTAAGCCTGCATATTTTAAAATATTTTAAAATATTGAAGTTGCATACAGTTCGTGTCTCTTTCGGATTTTTTCAGCTTTATTATATTCCCTTATATTTTGATCTGTGTTTTCGGCCTTGGTTTCCCCATTTTTGGTTTTCCGTTTCAGCCGTGAAATTGAATTTCGGTGCAAAATAATAATAATCAAAAATGAATGAATGAAATGAGCTAGCCTTGATTAAAGTTGATAATGTTCCGTGTTCATGTGTTATGAAGGAGTTAACAGTTACATGCGTGTGAGCGGGAGTGAAGAGGTCTGGTGAGAGCGTGTGCGTATGACGAAGAGAGAGAGAGTGCGGAGAGAGTGTGAGTGGAGGAAAGGACGCTGTTCTGTGCAGAACTGCGGTTGTTTTGTTTTTTTGCCTGCATTGATGAAAAAATTTGAAACAAAAAGAGTCGAATTTTGAGAAAATTCAAAGATTTCAAGTGCGCCTTGTAGTCCGGAAAATACAGTGTATAAGAATCAGGTAAAAGAGCCTCCGTGGTTCATAGAACCGGCGTAGAACTTTTTTCTAAAAAACTGCCTAGGAGTCCCTTTTAAAAGCAAAAGGTAGGATTATACTTGGAAATTTTATATGGCACTGGTAACTATACTCAGAACTGAATACTTTTTAATGTTACTTCCTGGTGAGTTTAACGTTCGTACAAGAGCCTCGAACCAGATGAGGATCTTTCACTTACCTCTGGTCGAAAGTTGTCTGATTCCTCTGGGAAGTGTCCTCTCAAGTTGATGATATGAACCTCTTGTGGGAAACTGCTGGTCCCTCTACTTGCACAGCCTGACAGGGCAGTGAAGGTCTTTAAAGTTGCCTGCACCGGGTGTGCCGAGCCAACAGGCAGCAGCTCACAAGGGCTACGAGACAACGGCCCTGCGTAGATTAGAAATATTATTCTTATTAAATTACTTAAAACAACAAAATGCAGCGGTTTTCAGGTAAAAAAAAAAAAAAAAAAAATGGTTTTCAGGTTAAAAACAAACAAAAAAACAACAACATTTCAGCTGTCTAATCACCGAATGTGTGAAATGGGCTGTGAAAGGAAAATTGAATACCTGAAGAAAATCCATGCACATATTGGAAAGTGCAAACTCATATTACTAGTAATATGATCCTAGTAATATAATATATGGATCGTAATAGAATATATGGATCATATAATATGATTAATTTGATGGTTTTGTATGAGGAAGTCAGGAGTGGCAGATGGATCATAATATAATATATGGATCGTAATATGATATATGGATCGTAATATGATATATGGATCGTAATATAATATATGGATCATATTACTAGTAATATGATTAATATGATGGTTTTGTATGAGGAAGTCAGGAGTGGCAGAGAAGTATGTTAGTTTGGTGCAGGACATGTATGAGAATAGTACAACAGTAGTGAGGTGTGCTGTTGGAAGGACAGATGACTTCAAAGTGGAGGTGGGACTACATCAAGGATCGGCCCTGAGCCCCTTCTTGTTTGCTTTGGTGATGGACAGATTGACAAACGAGGTCAGACATGGACTATGTTGTTTGCTGATGACATTGTGATCTGTAGTGAGAGTAGGCAGCAGCTAGAAGAGAACCTAGAGAGGTGGAGGTTTGCACTAGAAAGAAGAGGAATGAAGGTCAGCCGCAGCAAGAC